CTCCATCGTTGCCTTCACTGCTAGGCACTTGCCAAGAGATCGCTGTCTGCAGAGGCGTGCACGGGCCTCTTTGGGGGTCTGACTACCCTAAGGCCTTGAGGCAACTTGGTGCTGGGAGGTCTCAGGACAAAGTGTTCCAGGGAACCTTCCGAAGGACATGTGCCCAGTGATGGGCCAACCCCCTCCCCAGGCAGGGATGCTCCCAATTACTCCACTTGCCAAGTGACTCAGTTGGGGCAGGCCACTGGGGTTTCGGCGGGGCAGAGTGGAGATGCTGCCAACACTGTCTCCCTGCAGGAACCTGGGAGCCCCCTCAGGGTGCAGACAGGAGGATGTATAAAGGGCAGTGTGCCACTGTGGGATCCGCAAATGAAGGGGGACATGCAGACCAGGAGAAGGGCCTGAGGGAAGAACGGGCCGGGGAAGGAAGAGCAACAGGGCGATGGAGGCAGAAAGGAGGACAATGTAGGGACCACGATCTCGAAGCTGCTGGATGGTTGAAATTAGAGTCACTAGCCATTTCATAGCCTCCCTCTTTACGGGACAGAAACAGCAGTGGGGGCTGTGTGGGAGCGGGAGGTGGGAGATACCGCGGCCGGAGGTTCCCAGGAGTTAACAGTTTTCAAGGCACAGGAATAAGTGACTGAAGAACATTCTAGAAATGCCTTCCTTAAAGTCCTCTCCAAGGAGAAGAGACCCATCAAATTAAGCTCACTTTATTTAATAGCATGGGCTGAGATTAAACGATAATAATAAGAAAAACAGTGGCTGGACCTGCTGTTTAAGAGCGTTCTATGCATTAACTCACTGAGACAATTTTGAACGGATGGAGAAGGGGGCACCCAAGCTCTGGATGGGAGGGCAGCCCTGGGGTCCCCTCTGGAGGGAGCAGGCCCTCTCTCTTCCCCAGGGGGGCCTGGCCTGAGGACGCTCCTGTGTGCTCACTCGCCCTTTGCCTACCTTCCCTGGGCCCTCGGAGGAAGCTGAGGCAGGCTAACTGAACGCATAACTTTATTAAATAAAGGCTTTGTCGCGACAAAAGACAAAGATAAGGAGTACATAAATTATAAGTTGAATAAATAGCATACAGCAATCTTCACTTTTTTAATAAAACGTGAGATCCTCTGTTTTTTTATTTTTATTTTTATTTCCTTAGGTACAAAATGCTAAACAGGAGGCGAGCTCTTCCACATTCGGGTGATTTCTTTTTCCGCTTTTTTTCTTTTGTCCACAAACTGGTTTTGTTTGTTGGTTTATTTTTTTCATCCTTTTCACCAGTAAAGATTATGAGCATTTATTTATTTTTTTTAAAAAGGTGAAAACGAAAAAGAGGAGAGAACAGAGCTATGGTATGTATGTGTGTAAAACTATAAAAAACTACAGTAATATGTGCTGTGGTTATTGCTGTTTCAAAAAAAAAAAAAAAAAACGAAAAACCGGTAGGTAACTCGGAATCTGAAGGAATCTTGTCTGACAACTGTCTATCCCGTGGGCTACTGTGTGGTGGTGGTGGCGGTGGTGGCGGTGGTGATGGTAGAGGAGGAAGATACAGGACTCAGGCTGGTGGCCAGGGACCCGAGAGGTGGGGTGCTGGGCGCGAGGCGGCTGGCCCTCCCCACCTTCCCTCTCCCCATCCAAAAGGAGTTAAAGAGAGGAGGCCAGAGTCTGTAGAAATGGCTAAACTATATACTCCATTTGAAAACCAAGACAGTATGTTTAAAAAAAGACACAAAAACCTAAGAGAAAAAAAAGTGGAGGAAAGTGCAAAATGAGTTTTGCACTTTAGTGGTTTTAAAAATAAAGACAGTCCCATGCCCAGGTTGCCGGCAGGTAACCCCTGTGCCCTGTCCCACCACTTCTGGAGACAGCCTCCTTTCTCTGGGAAGCCACATACATCCTCTCCGAGACCAGAGGGTTGCCCCTCCTTGGCCCACACCTCTCTGGAGTTCCCATCTGAGCTGGAACCCTCTCGGGGCTGAATGGATGGAAGTGGCCACACTGCCCCACCTGAGCGGGGCTTGCGGGTGTGTAGTAGCCCTGTGGCTGCTACGGAGCTAGGTGGTGGGAGAGGGGTGGTCCAGGCCCACCTCCCCAGAGGAGGTTGACTGTGTAGGGTTACCATGGAGACCACTGAGGTGGTGATGGGAAAATGGGCGAGGGGACAGGAGAGAGGACCACACAGGGCCTCCTGGACCTCCCGTCCTCTCCCATGTCGGGGTTTGAATGTCTCCAGGCCTGGCTGTCCAGGCCTGGCTGTCTGAGGAACTTTCGAGTCTCTTCCTTCCCAGATGCCCTGCTTTGCCTGGTGGGTAGGGCAGCTCTGGGGAAGGAGGATCAGTCCTGGCTAAGCCTCCCTCCATCACCTGGCAGCAGTGGGAATCTACAGGGATGTCTCCACTGCTGGAGTGAGGCGTGAGTCAAAAGGGGGATAGGAAGAGACCTCCTGTTGGGCTGGGGGAGCAACATTTAGACTTGAGGCCATAGAAAACTGGGAGCTTAAGGCCTCTGGTTGGGTGGGCAGTGGCCAACAGGCAGCCTGGAGTCAAGATGATCCCCGCTCAGGACTTCACAGCTGGCAGCACTTCACGCCTGCCTTTCTTCCCACCCAGCCCAAGGGAGGGGCGCCATCTTCCTCAATGACTCTCTCCCCTGGTCTCCCCACTCTAGGCTTAGGCCAGACCTCCCCTTTGGGAGGTTGTGTTGCTTCTGTCATGAAGGTCCAGCGTCCTATGGGGAGTGGCCAGCTGACCAGAATCACCCCCTATAAGCCTTGGAGACTCACAGGTTTGGGTTAGTTGGCATGAACTTTGGAAAGCTGAAGAGACTGATGGAGTTAAACCAGGCCATAATCCCTCACCTGATGGCTGACAGCAAAGAGCCGATGTGAGGCGCAGAGGCCCAGCAAAGTCCAGTAAACAGCGTGGGGGAGAAGAGATAGCCCCTCTCAGGAACCAGGTCCAGGCCTTGGGAAGGGTGGGGTGGGGGATGCAATTCCTGGCTCAGTCTTTTCTTATGGAGAATGGCTCCCCAGTATCCACTCGGCAGATCCCAGTTAGACGAGTGCTCAAGATCCAGAGAAAGAACGGCAGAAGGAAGATGAAGTGGGAAGGGTTTACGATACTGGCCTGAGATGTAGAAACGAGAGTCGGGGGCTCGGGGACAGTTGCACAGAGAGATGGGGCATGCCGACACAGCAGGCCAAGTAAGTCCTCAGGGCTGCCATCCCCATCGGGCCCTTTGTCCTATGAAGATTGACCGCTCTCCCATCCCCACCAGCTGTGTTGTTCAGGGGAGCGGGAGACGTCCCCCACGTTCCACGGCTGCGAGTTCTCCACTAGCTGAAATCTATGTGCTTCTTTGCTGTCTCTCTTCACTGCCCCAAGTTTCTTGTTGATGGTGGGCTCCACGGTGTCAAGCCATCAGGAAAGAGGGGAGACAGCTGTATTCACAGCGAGAAGGGGGCTCCTTTGTCAGTGTCCGAGCCTCCTTTCCTGGCAGGCCATCTCCAGCCTCAGGGGACAGCCCCAAGGCCACCCATTTAAGGAAAACAGTGGAAAGTGGGATTTTTCTTGGTTCAGCATCTGGCTGCCAAATGACAGCACCCCCAAATCCTCCATTCCCTGCTAGTCCTGGGCCTTTCTCCATCCTCCACCCCAGGGAGGGGCTGCCAGGACTGGCCAGAGTGGACGAAGAGCTTGAGAGACCCTCTGGCCTCAGTCCCTTGTTGCAGGGTGAAAGTGGGCATGTGAGCACATAGCCTTGTCCCTTCCAAAGCATGCCCAGTCTCTACTGATCCTCACTCCTGTCCAGCCGCTAAAGTCTAGGACCCACCTCAAGTTACTCGCCTTCCCTGGCTCAAGGCCTGGATTAAGTTCATTTCTCCATTACAACCTGCTCCCCCATTTTCCTCTCTCCTTCTTCGTGATTCCAGAGGGCTCACAGAGAGGGGAGCCGGGGAAGTTCCTCCTGGCTTTGTCTCCTTTCTGTTGCTTTGCTGCAAAGCTAGAAGGGAGCAGTCCGCCCCCTGATCCTGCAGCCCACTGACCCTCACTCCATCTGCTCTGGCCTGAACAATCACTTTTACTGTTTCCCTGTATTTAAAGCCTTTTTGCCTCCATCTCCTGCTTTGCCATCTCTCATTTCGGTCTCTCTCCTGCTCTGCCAGCATGAAGACTGAGAGAGAGGCTTTCAAAATGCAGGCTCTGTCCAGATGAAATGGAAAGGCTGGACAGGACCAGCGGGTCAAACCTGGACCTTGGGCTCGTTTGGTGTGGGGTCCAGGGACGGTGACTTCTGGAGGGTCTGAAGGCTCAAAGGGGATGTGCTGGGGAGCACGGTGCGTGCTCCGTTGAGTGCTCTCGTCTACCTGGCACAGGGGTTCACATGAACACACGTGCACAAGGGAAGTCATGAAAAACCCAACCTGTGTCCCACAGACGGCTGAGGGCAGCAAATCTGGTGCCCGGGGTTGTGTTAGAAGAATATGGGTTTTCCTGGTTTGCCCGGAATGAGGAAGCTCCTCAACGCCCCCATAGGAACTACTTTGAAAAGTTAATGCAAACCTTTGAAAGAAAGGGAGGAAGGAAGGAAACAAAGAGAAAGAGAATAGATTTATATGCCTATACGTGACTATATGGAGCCTTGTAGATAAATACAAGCCCACGTTTTTTTTTTCAGCCTATCCTCCCCCCAGAGGGTGTGCTGCTGCGAATTGAATGCAATGAGGTGCTGAAACCACACGCTTCGTTCTGCACGTAGTTTAGTTCCCCGGAAGAACCAGTCTTTCCACTGTTGGAGTGTGTGTTGATTTCTAAGTCTGCAGGGGTGTGCTATATGCACACATACTTCATATGGATGTACCCGCCTCGGAGAACCTGTCTGTCTCATATCACTCACTTATTAATTTGTTTTGTTTTGAGAGGGATGGAATGCGTTTTTGTTTTTATAAATTTGGGGGAGAGAGAACGCTCTGCTGGGGTGGCAGGACGGGAAGGACAGGGCTGGAGCCATACAGCTGCTGGCTGGAGGAGGAGACAGACCCGGGAGAGGCACCGACACCTTCATCTTTTCCTTGCTCCCCCTGTGACCCATCCAAACTGGGAAAACCCTAGGTGTATCATCGAACGTCACATGTTGGGCCATCTTGTTTCCCCATCTCGGGCCAGGCTGGACAGCAAGGTGGAGCCATCCACGGCCCAGTGCACCTGCTTTCTCACCCACTTTCCTCTTCTCTTTTTCCAACTCTGTTTGTCTTTCCCTGTCTGTTACACATATGCTTACCTCTCTCTCCCTCTCCCGCTCCTTCTCTCTCTCTCTCTCTTTCTCTCTCTCATTCTTCCTCTCTTCCCTTCCCTGTTCATTCAACTTGCCTCGAAAAGAAAACCATTTTGTGGGGTGTCTCCTTAGCTTTCTGAATCTCCATTGTTGCCATTTTCCAAGTTGAGACCTTGCTAGAGATTCCGAGGTCCTCCGTTTCCTCAAATAGATAGATATATGTATTCTTTTCCCTTACATGAGATGAAATGAGTGGCGTCCTGGGGTGGAGGGAGGCTCTGGCTGGAGTTGGGGCTGGGGTGGGATGGGGCGAGGGAAAGGCGGGGAGGGGAGGCGTCACTCCACGTTGCTGCTGTCGAAGGTGTGGCACTGGAAGTCCCCATCGACGTACTCCATGCCGGGCAGCTTCATCCCGTACTTGTCCACGCACCAGCAGATGCCACGCTTGCGGCCGCGGGAAGGCTTGCACTGGGGTGGGGGGAGCGACAGGCGGTGAGGGCAGCTGTACCCCAGGATCCGCTCCTGCCTGGCCTTTATCTTCCCCACCCGGGACCAACTCTTGCCCCCAGAGAGTTGAGGGGCTGTACCCAACCCTGGGGGTCTGGCGTCCCCTCTGCATGGAGAGGGCCCTGGGGAAAATGCTAATTTGGGCAGTCTGCCCTCGGTGGGCTCCTACACCTCTTTTTTATGTCACCCATTCAGGGTCCTCCACCTTGGCATTCTCCAGAAAGCTACAGGATCTGATGATGATAATAATAATAATAATAATGATGATGATGATGATGATGATGCCAGGAGGCATAACTTGTACAGCTTTACCATGCACAAGACACTACTTCACACTTGTATATGGCAGGAGCTGATCAGGTGCTTTACAAGGATTGACCCATTATTCCTCACAGTCGTGTGAGATCACAGGTACAATTCTGCATTTGACATGAGAAACCGGAGGCAGAGACGTTGACTAACTGAGGAAAGAGCGCACACTGCTAGTATGTGCAGAACCAAGAGCTGACCCAAGGCCACCTGGCTCTTGAGCCCTGACTTAGATGAGGTCCCTGTGGAGCAGCAGGGACACCAGGAGGGGACTTGATAGAAACGCCACCTTCTCAGGGTCCACCCTGACCGAACACTCGGATGCACTGGGGTGGGCCTGCAGCCAGTGTCTGAGCCAGGCCTTGGGATTCTGGTGCCCTGGGAGGTCTGAGAACCACTGCCTGAGGGCCTGGTCCCACTGCCACAGGCTGAGTCTCACTGGGTGACCAGCCATGGGGGTCCCCAAAGGGTAGGTGGGCTGTGAACGGGACACAAAATGATTCCAGGTGGCACGCGGTAAAAATACGTTCTAAAGTCTTATGTGTGCAATATTTATGTGTGTGTGCATCAGAAAATAACACATCAACATGGGATGGGAGAGTGACACAAAATTTCCTTTTAAAACGAATTCATGAAAACAAGGTGAATCATTAAATCCAGATGGTGGTACGAGCTTGGTTATTGGAGGGTCGGGAAACACTACTGCCAATGCCAGAGATCCTGGGCATTTAGAGGTAGAGGTTTTCTGGCAAGGGCATCCCAGGGGCCCTCTGGGCTTGCAGGCAGGGGCTGGGCGTACCTGCTTTCTCTTGTAGAATCCCTTGCGGTCGCAGTTGGGCAGGTACACGGCTCGGGGCACCATGCGCGGGCTGGCTTTGAGCTCCTGCAGCGAAGCCTCCATGTGTCGGCGGCAGGGGCCCTGTGTGTGGACGGGGGCATGAGAGGCGTGGCAGGTCTCAAGTGGAAACCACCTGCGTGCAGGACGCGTGGCCTAGGGGGCGGGGGCTAAACCATCTGCGGGAAAAGTGGCCGCTTTTTGTTGCAATAGTCGCTACCAAAGGTCCTTCCTCCCTCTCACCCATCATGCACCCTGGGTGTAGAAAGGATGCAGAACCTGCATTTGACCAGGTACGAAGGCGTGTTACCCCATTTGTCTTCCAGGCCACCCACCCTCAGCTCCTCCATTCTGCTGAGTAATTAAGTGCAGAGGTGGCTGTCTGTGGATGCTCTGGAGAATGTTCCGTCTCTGGCGAGGTGAGGACACAGCTTCAGGGCGTACACACACCTGGCGTGTGCTCGCTCTGGTGGGCTGGCACCTTCCTTGAGCACTGCCTCTCCTTTCCAGCCAGATAAGTCCTGGCTCCTGATAACTGCCAGCTCTGAGAATTCTCCTGAACCCCAAGCTGAGCTGCCATGGTCAGTGATATGTCCATTCCTAGGTCTAGCCTAAGCACCTCCAGCTGCCACGAATGGTCATGTAGAGGCAGGGAAAGGTCAAAAGTCGGGGTTGGGGCAAAGTCTGCCCAGTGTGGATGCAGAAGGAGATGGGGAGAGAATCCTCAGGACTCACCTGCTCAGACTCCTGTCTCATTTCCGGCGCAGAAATGACCCGGGGGTGGGCAGTGTTCTCGGCTCCTCCCACGAACTTGGACTGGGTCAGCTTCTTCCTGCGATCCTTCTTCACTGCCTCGGCCTTCAGCTCGGAGATGCGGGTGTGCTTGGGCCGGAAGACCTTGGGGGAGTAGGTCTCCTCTGCCATCTCGGAGGTGGTCGGCTCCTCATGTTCCCTGGAGTCTCTGTCTGCGGGGGGCAAGGAGGGAGGATGCAGATCAGCCTTTGGGGGCTGAGACCCCACCGTGCAGGGCTCCAGGCTGGGAGGTTTGGGTGAGGAGACCGGGTTTCCGCCCTCCTGGGGCTGACCGGAGGGGGGGAAAGCAGAGAAGTAAGGCAGAAGAGCGAACGCTCATGTAAGTGGTGGGAAGTTGCCGGCACACGACTGGAGTCCAGAAGAGCGAGTCTAGGAAGCCTTCATGGAGTGGGAGGGTCTTGAAAAAGGAGGGAGAGGACATTCTGGGGGCTGGAAGGGGGCATGGAGGAGGGGCCCATGGGAGAGCTCACGCTGTGGTAAGGGGCTTGCTTGCTGGGGGGCTGGCTATGTGGATGAGGCAGTGGCTGCAGGTGGGGCTGCCATGTCAGAACACAACCTACAGTTCCAGGCTGTTGGAGGAAAACAGGGGACAGCCACGCAGGGACAAGAAAGGCCTCTTGTGAGGTATTTGTGCCTTCAGAACTGCTGCAGTTGAGATATATTAGGACTTGGGAAACCAGGGGCAGGAGGGTCCTGGGGGTCTGGACTAGCAGGGTGGTGGGGGCCACCATGAAGGGCAGGAGGAGGACAGAGCCAGAAATGTGGGGCCTAGCGGGGAGCAGTGCTGGTGGGCGAGGGGACACTGAACCCTGAGGCTTGGCTCCCTGCTCTGGCCCAGAGCCGGCTCTGTGCTCTGGGCCCTGGGAGGCTGGAACATAACCCAGCTCCAGGCCAAGAGAGGCCGACAGCTGGCTGGGGCAGGCGCAGTTATATATAGGAGTGACATGGTGACAGTCTATACTTAGCTGACTTATGACCTTTAAAGAAGTAGGACTTTGTTCATTTATTTGTTGATCTGTTCATTCTACCCTCCCGGCCTTTTCTTGGTCCACAGATCTCCATTCAATTGTTATTTCACAGGCGCCCTGCCAGCCTCGGCAGACCCACAGTGCAGTGGTCTTGGGTTGCTTTTCCCAGGTGACGAGGGTGTGGCCAGGATGCCCACATGAGACCAAGGACAGGGCAGTGCGGTGGGGGCAGGGAGGCCCTTGTCTATATTGCCCTCTTTCCTTTTCAAATTCTAGAAAAAGGACATAGGGCTTTGGGACGACCCCATATGACTCAAAACGGGTGAAGGAAAATCTGTTCTCCATCCGTTCCCGCAATCTAGGCTACCCAGGAGCCGTGATGGCAAGGTGTCGGGGACGGAAAACAGAAGGAGAGCATTCCACGGAGGTGGGGATGAGAGGGGCAGGGAGAGAGCAGCTCGGGAGCAGACACTGTTCTGTGTCCCAAGCAGGAGCTCTCATCTCAGCCCAGGGGAAGCTCGCTGTGTGCCAAGGGAGGCACTGGGAGACCTGGCCTCACCCTGTCGGGGCGGCAGGTGGCAGGAAGCGCGCGAGCACCTGTCTGTCTCGCGGCTGGGGATTTGTCAAATTTAACTGAATAGGGATCTGATCATTAAGGGCCTGGGAGGGAAGCTCCCCGGCCTGCAGTGTTCTGGGTGGTCAGGTGATATAGGAATGTAACCACAGGCCAGGAAGAGAAGAGGTCCCCGGAGAGGAGATGATGGGCAGAAAGCAAATAGCATAGCCGCACGCAGGATCTCCCTGCACCCAGTTCAGCAGCAGACGTGCCAGCCCCCACCTTTAGCAGCCCACTCCACTCCCCTGCCGCCGGGTCTGGACTCAGGGCCTGACTCGACTCTGCCAAACCTGCTGTGTTGACTAATCCACACAGTGACGTGCCTGGGGGCTGGGATGTAGCCTTCTAGACCATATTAGCTAAAGGAGTGATGTTTCGGGGCAAATCAAATTTTCTTGGTTGTGGGATGAGCTAGAATTGGGGTGGGATGCAGGGAAGAGCCAAGCTGGTTTGGGGAGCTCTGTACAAATTGAAAGGCTAGGGCTCTGTTGTCTAGTAACTAGGGCCCAAACCTGAGGCTCAGGACTGGGGGAGGAGGGGTGAGGAGAGGAAAAGCTAACTATGGCTGCTGGGCCCATCTTACTGAGTGACTTGGGACACTTCACTCCACCTCTCTGGGTGTCACCAAGCATTCTAATCCTCAAAAAGCAGGTGACTAGAAGGGTAGAGCAGAGGGCAAGAGAAGGTTGGCACTGAGAAGCTGGGAGCATTTTGGGGGGGCATGGCCACACCCCTTCCCAATCAAGATTGTAACCAGATGATGTGAGGGGGGGAGGGCGAGAGGGCTGGGTGCTGACCAGGGCACGGGAGAAGGATGAGCAGCTCCCTCAGGGGCATCTGTGGAGCGGGCCTCCAGGAATCACCTCTTCAAGGGGAGAGCCCAGGACGCTGCCCACCCCGGCGGCTGGCTGTACCAGCTCCTGGGATCCTTCCAGTAGACTATCTAGTCCATGCCCGTGTCCAAGCCGAAATGAGTACCTATGCCATCCCAGGGGAACTCGTCCTAGTTCTTAAAGACATCTGGGATGCATGTGCCACCCATCCTCCTCTGGTCACCTGTTTTGGGGGGGCCTCTCTGTCCCTTTGGTCAGAGGGTGTCATTTCACCTCTCTCTGGCCTTGGTGGACATGGAAGCTTGTTGGCTCCTGGCCCGCCGTGTATGAACAGCTCTTCTCAAGACTCTTCACTTTTGAGGACTTTTTCTAAGAGCGCTGTGGGCCGCCCTTAACCTTGAGTCTCCCTTCTGGGAAGAGGATGGGGATGTCAACAATGGTTCGATAGACTTTGGGGCAAATTTATGTGACCTCTCTTAGTGTCTTCTCTGAAAGTGTTGGGGCCAAGCAGTGATGCTCCTGGAAGACGGAGTGCAGATCCCTGTATCTTCTTTAAGGAACTCAAACACATTCGCAAGCCCTCTCCCCTTCCCCCAGCCTCACCTCGCCGGGACTTCAGGCACATTGTCCCTAGTTTGCTGGTTCTTTGGCTGCTTCTGAAGGGCAGGCTTAAAGTTTTGATGTGTCTCCTAGGTTTTGGAGCCACTTAACCCCATGGGACCTGTTACTTAGGTAGCAGGGGAGTCGAGTGTCAAAGACACTAATCAGGGTCTTGTGGCACCTGTGGGCTCCAGAGACACAGCGGAAACGTGGAGCGGAGCCAGGGCAGAGCCACGAAGATTAAAGGGCTGGAAAGGAAGAGGGGAGCTGGATGCCAGCGCCAGCTAGCCCTGTGCAGCTGCTTTGAGGCCGAGTCATAAATAGGCTTTCAGTTCTGGAAAGGTTTAAGTTTTAGATAAGACAAGAAGGCACAAGCAGCCTGGCAGCTCCTGAGCTATTTCGTCAAGAGGCAATGGGCCGGGGCTGCAGAAGGGCTTCAGGCGGGATATAAGGGAGGACTTCCTGGTGAAGCTGCCCCGCACGTGAACAGCAATGGAGGGAGCTTAGCGCAGTGGGTTCTAGAAGCTGTTGGACAAACAGGTCAATACCTCCATACGGCCAGTAGAGGGCAGGGGAGACTGATGGCCACACAACATGTCCCCGGTACTTATTTCTAGGGACTGTAAGCCATTTCAGAGTCTGGAATTTGTGTGCCTCTCTCACTACTTCTCTGACAACCATCCAAACCCTCTCCTTCCCTCTGTGTGTCTGCAGCATGCAGAGGGAGAGAGATGGACAAGTGAGGACTGGAAAGGACCCATGCGAGGGGGACGGTGGAGGAGGCAGATGTGGCAGCTGGAGGGGAAGGGGCGAGGCTTATCTGCACATAACTCCCTGCTGTTTCTTTAATCTGCAACTGAAAAGTGATCAGGGTTAGAAAAGAAACCCACCGGAGCCTTCCTTCCTTCCTGTCTCTAGGCATCACTTTGAAAGGATTCTGCAGAGGACGGGAAATGCGTGCTGCTCAGTACTGTTCCCTCCTCTGGGAAGCTGGGGAGGCAGAGTCCTTTAATTTCCTGTGATCTTATCCAATGACCAAGGAAGTGAGGGCTATGATATTGTCCTGATATTTACCTTTGTGGTAGGCTCTGATTCTGTTCTGACTTCTACCCTAGTCCCGTCAGCCAGCTCAGACCCTCCTTCATTCACATGGTGCTGCCTGTTCACACTGGTGCGGCAACATGCACCAAGACGCATGTGGGAACACAGGCCCTCCCTGTGACAACATGAACACCTGCTGAGGACCACGCCATTCTGCAAACACAGAGCGGCTCTGGGTGCAGGCTTGGCTGCTGTGGACCCAGAGCATCCTCAGGTGGGTAGTGCTGTTCACAGCACAGGTGCACAGTGCGCTTTCCCTGCCTGAGCCCCCACTGTCTCCACCCCTCCCTCTTGCCGCTGCTGTCCTCTCATAGGGGAGGATGGTTTAGCAACAGAACCAGGCACTTTCTCATCCCACTCTGTTACCAGGTCACAGTGACTGGACGGGTCCAGTTGGGGACCTGCTGTTCCCTGCAAGCCATCCTTCCATTTGGAGCCCTTGATCACACCCTGGCCCCATTCACAGCCTGGGCCCAGGCTGGTGCTAGCCTCCCACTCTGTCTTGACTTCATAATCAAACTTAAGAGAAACCTGAGGTGGCCTTGATATTGGGATTTACTTCCGGAAACTGAGGTGTACTTGGAATTCACAGCTCAGGGAGGAGGCAGGGCTTTGCCAGGCCACCTGGACCTGGAGAGAGGAAAGTCTCCTTTTCCAGTCAGAAAACAGGATGGGTTTGCCCCGTGTCTCCTCTACAAGGAATGAAGAGGGGAGCCGGGTTTCCTCTGGCTCTCCTTCTGGCTCCCTCTGTGGAATTTAAACAGTCAACGTTTTGAGGGAAGAGCTGTGTTGTCATTTCCTCTCCAGTGTGTAGTATTCAATAAATAATCTTTAAATGGAGAGATGCATGGATCTGCTCAAGAGACAGAGAGAATTGGGTCTCGAAGCATTTCTGTCACATAAGCTGGGGCATGTTAGACCTCAGGATGCCCTGAGAGGTCATTCCACTCATGCCCCTGACTTCAAGCATAATAACTGCCCAGAGGGAGCAAGGAGGCAGGAGGAGGAGGCTGCAGGGGTGGGAGAGAAGTAGG